TTCTCTCTTTTGCAATTCATCTTCGGATATGTTAGTCGAGAGTGCGACAATAGGAATTACGACACGGTTGACAACCATATAGAGCGAAACTGCATCAACCAAGCGAAACTCTCTCACGCATCACCGCATCGTATTTTTCCAACGAAACGAACCAAACGGACTCTTCCTCGCTACACTTGTCTATTTTTTTTTATTTCTCTTACTATCTATCTCTCTATCTATCTATCTATCTATCTATCTATCCATCCATTCATCTAGCTAGCAATCTCTCTCTCTATCTCTCTCTCTCTCTCTCTCTCTCTCTCTCTTGTTCTTTCTTTCACGATGCAGAACTAAAACGAGCTTTGAAAACCGAGAACATATTCCTCCTCTAACAGTATCAGGACAGAAATTCAATTGAAATTGATCCGACAACCTGTTTCCCTTATCGTTAGTTAAACTCGAAGCTCGTCGCGAATAACTCAAGTTATTATTTTATTATTTTTTATTATTATTCTATGTGTATACGTTATTTATAGTTTTAAAAAAAAGTATATATAATTATAATTGATTCATCATATAAAATCCTAGATTATAAGCCAAAACGTTTTACAAAATCAAAACAGGTTTATAAATTTTATTCTACGTGAAATTATGATATCAAATTGTGCAGTATGCATCAACGAAAAGATAAATAAGTAAATGTAAAAAAAAAAAAAACAATATAATCTGCATCGATTCACATTTTTAAACGAAATAAATTGATGAATACGCGAATAGAAAAAAAAATGAAAAAAGAAATGTGTACAGATCACACACGGTAGAAGTGAAACCTTCAAAGAAAACTAAGCTTCGAGACGTGAATATATCGAAATAATTGAATTGTAATACAGTGCCATCTATTGAAAGAACCTTACAGTACCTAGATAATCTCTAAATAAAAATCTTTAAATTAGTAATAAAAAATAATTAAAATAAAATCACGATAAAAATTATGCTATGAGCTAAGTTGGAAAAAATCACGTGAAATAAAATAAATTTCATTAAAATAAATTGAGTAGTATCGGAATTATTAGTAGACAAACATATTGTGACACTGAATTTTTATATATAGAATTTTATTAATTAATTAATTAATATATAGAATTAAATAATATAGAACTAAATTATATTATGAATTTTATTAATTAATTAATTATTTTTGTTTCATCGGTTTCACGTTCTTCCGTTTCACGATTTTCAAATCACCCTGATTCTAAA